TCTCCACACTTATCAAATGCACTCGCCATCGAAGTATACAGGTCTTGTGACGGTAATCATCAACAAAACAAGAGCATTTACGCACTTATAGCAATGCACGTTGTGTGTGTGTACATCGTCTTTCGAGACGAGCCTTGTGACTATGTGACTTTACGTCGCCTGTCTCGACTTGCGTTAGAACGATATTTAAAAAAAGCAAACACCTCTCTAAAAAGTCTCTATAGGCTCTCAGCGACTCCAGACACAACAGTACCTGGGGTTTTGAATATATCAGAGAAGAGAAGAATTGACATGTATAAGCCAATTATCATCGGTTTATCATTCAGTATCAGTCTACGCACCACATTAGTTTTATTTGAATATATTTCATTGGAAACTCAAAGATCATTATATCTAATAGAAAACACATTCCAGTGATAATTAATGGTCAATAATGTTCCATTCACAAAGTATAATTCCCGGACTCATCTGATTTCTGTAGTACTGGACAATTACCGGAGTACCGCCTTCTTCCCCCATAGTCCCACACACAATTAGTTCCCGGCCCGCTCAGGTTTATTTTTTTGTACCACATGTCGCGCAGTACAGAATTCTAAGCAGATAATTGGGTTTTGTAAAAGCCCGAGCGATGTGAGGTTGCAACGTCCTTTTCATCATCATAAGCTTTGAATAGGTACGTCTATTATAGACACATACATCTCGCTGTACAATCCCAGCGACCGCTCATGCATATGCGACGTAGTAGTCTCTATATGCTATCGCTACTATGTGAATACTATTGAAATCAAGCCAGGAGAGTTGGCTTTCGTTTACGAGCTTTTGCATTGCATATTGCGACTATACAATCAGCTACTTTCGACTACCGTAGCTACGATGGTGTAGTAGGAGCCATCTCTCGAAACTGCTTTCATCTTTCTCAAAGTCCGCGATTTAGTTGTAGCAGGATTGAATGGTATTGCAACCTCAAACTTTGAATTCGCCACTATAGACGCGATGCTATTCAATGCAATCAATATACATTAGTGCTGACATATTATTCGTTTTCTCTTTTATACGTATAGTCAACATGCTTATCTCCAAACAAAACCGTCGTGCCATCTACGAGCAGCTGTTCAAGGACGGTGTTCTTGTGGCCAAGAAGGACTTTAACGCTCCCAAGCACGATGAGCTAGAGTCTGTTCCCAACCTGCAGGTCATCAAGGCTATGCAGTCACTTAAGTCCCGGTATGTTTTGATATTCAAATAGCTATAAATTTATGTTGTTTTATTGCCTTGTGGAATTGGGTTTTTGGTAGGTCGTTTACTCTGGAGCTACGACGCTCAGATTGTACGCAGCGCTAATCCATTACGAAACTTGTACGGCTAAATCTCACGATCCAAGCCATAGATTATATATATATATATATAGATATATGGAATGGATTGCTATGTGGTCACTCACTGTTTGCTTAAAATGAACAGCTTACGGACTTTGGTGTGTAGCTAATATGACTTTCTGTGCATAAAACTTTTGGTTTGTGAGGACAAACATTGGAATTACCGGCTGAGGTCCACCGACTTTGTACTCAAAGGACCATTGGATGAGAACTGGCTGTCTGAAACCAAACATTACTATATTTCATGTTCTGTTGTTATTCAGAGTGGTAAAGATCGTAGTGTATGTTCTCCCTAACATTTTCGAGTTGTATATTCTATGCTGGATATATATATATATATGTATATATATATATATATGTTTACTATTCGTGTCATAGCTTCCGAACAGGATGAACGAGTTGTATATGCACCAATAGTATAATGTTTTATCGCTGAGTATGATGGGTACTAAAGACATCGCCTAATACACACTCCCAACAGTGGATACGTTCGTGAGCAGTTTGCGTGGCGCCACTACTACTGGTACATCACCGATGAGGGTATCCAGTACATCCGCGATGTGCTGCACCTTCCCGCTGAGATTGTACCAGCCACTCTTAAGCGCTCTAGCCGACCTCCCCAGACTACCGGACGCCCTGGTGGTGACCGTCGCGAGGGCGGTAGCCGTCGGTAAGTTTCTTTGTGTATTGGATTCATGTATCTTTTGAATTGAGCCTGTGTGAAGATTCATCTAATTGGGTTGAAAACACTGAGTGTGTAAGCTATCTCGTTTCTTGGTTGTTATTCTTGTTAACTTTTCTGTAGCTTCGAATATGGTCATAAAATCTAAATGGCCTCATGGCGCTATTATACGTTATAAAATTCAAAACGTCATGATATTAACTATTTGTTTCTTCTCGTTCTATAGTGATGATGGTGGTCGTGGAGACTACCGTCGTGGTGGTGACGATAAGAAGGTTGGTGCTGGTTCTGACTTCAACCCTGAGTTCCGCGGTGGTTACGGACGTGGACGTGCCTTCGGTGGACAACAGACCGCCCCCGCTGGAGTACCTCAGTAAATTAATAATACCCCCTATCCATCTGTAGATCGTTACTGCAAACTTCGCGGCAAATCTATATTATTTTTGCCTGTGCGTAACTTTATCCGTACGACATACGATGCGAGAAGGAAAGCTTATAGTTAGCAATTGTCCATTGATTTGGATACAATTGTTCGAATGATGAGAACCTCCCGTTGAACGAATCTTCCGCACAGGACACGATGGGTGCAGTTTGTAACTGAACTGCATATACAATTGTTGCTGTGAGAAGTTTGGCGTTTGTAAATTTAGCAGACTGCTAGTTCTGAAATAAAGAATTAGCAAGTGCTTCATTGAATACTTACCTTATTGTCAGAGTGGCCAGTTGTTCGAAATCTAGCTTCTTCTTGACTAAAGGTCGTTGTGACTGTAGCTAGTTTCTAGAAGTGCTTATATTGAGTTAAGATTTCGTATTGGTGCACGTAAGCTGTAATTTTCTTCCACTGGGAATGATACACGCTATAGCTGGGAATCGGCAGATAATTTTAACTATGTACATGTAAATATAAATACATAAATGCGCAATATGTACCGACGCTAAAGTGCTGAAAGTTCCATTATGTAAAACGTAAAAGCGGTACATTGCAAGTTCAAGTATCTCTCAATGCTAAATGCTTTCTTGTAACGTAAATTGTGCACATCCACGAGCAGTGTGGCACCCTTCATATTGCGACTTTATTGATGCGAGCCCATATGCTTCAATTTCTAGTCGCATCTAGGCCTGCACTGCCACTAAAATGTACAAGAGGCGGCAACTGCTCACTGTTTTGTGTACAAGCATTGTCATGTCAAATACATTCATTTGTATTCATATCTTTCGTTTACATAATCATAATAAGCGTGCCGGCTGATTCGGATACGCATGTTGACGGCACTTCGCATTATTAGTGTCATACATCATTTCTTAAAACGGCCTCATTTCGAGGTTGGGACCATTGGTATAGTACTTGCAATGTGGACGGACCGAATTTCCTTTTTGGTGTTTCCAAATTCTCTTTCACACCACATACGTCTATGGAATCGCACAGATACCTCGATCTCTGATAGATCAAATTTGTTAGTCTACAAACAACCTGTGATAAGCCAATGGATTCCAGGCACTTCACCAGGAATTCAGCTCAGCCGAGACACGTGTCTATTAGGAGTCGCTTGACCAATGTCAGTATTATTCTGAAAGATTGGACGACATGCGGATTGGGATCTAGTGAAGAAAACTTGTTATTTAAGTGTGATTTCTATCTCGCAACGCGTCAGAATTAAACAACCGAATCAAAGTTTGTTCGCGAGTTTGTTCATGGTATGCAAGCTCACAAATTTGTATTAAACCTATCACGCACTTCCGTATTTTACGAAGGTCAATAATCAGCAAATATCAGCACACCCGAACACCTTATATTCAAAGAAGCTTCTTGCATACGATTTGCCATCATTATTCTGAAAGATTGGACGACATTCGGATTGGGGTATAATGGAGGAAACTTGTTAAGTGTAACAATTTATATCTCGCAACGCGTCATACTTAAAACAACCGGATCAAAGTTTGTTCACGAGTTTGTTCCTGGTATACAGACCCTCAATTTTGTCTTGAACCTGGCACGCACATCCGTTTTTAACGAAGGTCAATAATCGGCAAATATCAGCACACCCGAACACTTGTTTTCAAGGAAGTTTAAAATCAACGTGCTTCCTGTATAATGGTTTAATAAACAAATATACGCTCAATATATGGGCGTCAAAATCTTCCGCGGTGTAACTTCAATGTGTGCTATGAAGTCGACATAATGCGACAATGCCACACGTGCCCTGAACGACTATCCATGACTAGAAATCAGGGCCACACAATATCACTTTATCATAGATTGTAAATTCATGTAGCTCACGAGAAACATTTAAAGTTCGAAACTGACAGAAACGCAGGTGAACAATGCCATTGCATTTTAATACGCACATTTTGTATGATTGTTAACTGAACACAAAAAGTTACTTATACGTAATTTAATTCATGATCTCAATAGTTTAAAATTTAGATTTATGTGCTCCAGAAACAATTAAACTAAATCGATGCGTGACAGAGTTCGCTGCACTTGGTTCGTGAACCGGTGTATGATATGACACCAATCTTTATAAAGTGTCGTCCTTATCTTTGCTTGTGGTGAAGTTTTACAGCTACATACTGCGATCACATTTTAAAGACCGATACCGAATGTAGACGAGTCAGTTGTGATATAAACAGAGTCATACGACTGCGTCAAGAACCATCTATGCCATCAACTCACGCACCAGATTAGTGTAATATTGATAGAAAAACAATAAATATTAAGCAGACAGCACTTTATACATAGCTTATACAATTGAACTTTATGTTTTCACCGCTACAATTTCTCACGTGAGATATAAGAATTACCAATACGTCTATTCAGACGCACACTAAGGAATGCGAGTGACATAACGCATTATTTTTTCAGATCGTGAAAGACAGGGGTCAACTTCATTTATTAAACCTAAACAAAGAATCTAACAAAATACTTATTGAGTCTTCTCCGCGATACAATTTTTAGCCCACGGTATTGTAATTTTAAATCAGTGTACGGCAGCAAAGTATTCTTTTTTGAAGAAGTGTTATATACCAATCACTGCGAATCTCCCCAACTGCACACCGCTCACACAGAAGATTAATCACAAATTTAAAAGCGATACTAACCGAAGGTATTTTACCAATGGAAGCGACTATAGAACTTTGTAGTTGTGTATGTCACTAAATGGGATCATCGCTTGCAGCAGATGGTTGTTTTTAAACAACGAGTATCCGGCTGATAACGAATTTAGATTGATGCTGTCCAAATAACTATTGATATAAAGATGCCAGACGTTTCGATATGCAATATACCTGGAACATTTGCAATAAATATATAGAATGACAAGTTCTGATCGTATTTACAAGCTACAACAGTTTTTTTAACTAAATGGTACACGAGAAATGTAGAATTCGGCATTTTTTTTTAATGAGACGGCTCAAAAGTAGCTCGTAGAGCAGGGTTTAATAAAAAAAAATTTCATGTATCTAGGCGTGTAAATACTTAACGTCTTGTATTTATAAAATAAACGTGACCCGTCAGGATTTAACTACAATAGGGTCTCGACTCGTCTATCGAGTATCGACTCTCGAGCGGAAATCAAGGTTGAAGGTTCGTCGTAGCAGCGGATATCGTAAATTTAGCGCAGACCCTGATCCAGAGGGCCATGGCATTTATTTGTCAGGACTATCTTATAAAAGGACTATCTTCTCACGATATTTCGCAACAGATGCGCTCGGTTCGGAACTTCGACTGTAGCCGGTCAAAATACATTTCCACACCCACTTCCCTCTGTACATAGCATTCTCGGAATCTCGGCGGTTACACGATAGTTCGAACTGTCGTCTTTGCTGATACAATCTTTGATCATACACTGCATAACTCTACTCTTGGAGCACATACAAGCCATGTGTCCTACTTTACGTAACGAGACCGATAGGGATAAATCGATAATAATAAATACATATCTTATTGCAGGGAGCCAGGGACTGAGGCTTCGCAATGACCCGCGCTATGGCGCGCAACCTCAAAATGACTAAAACCAAGTAAGTTGCAACTATTTACCGGCCGGTGGTCCGGAATGAATGGGATCTCCAACTCAAGACTCCAACTCCATCATGATGTTAAATAAATACTTGTTATAATTTTGTTTTTGAAAAGTTTTGTTATAAAAAAAAGCCTGAATACTGAAGGGCAACTGGCTGGTTGCCTGGGGAAGGCCTGAAGCTGCATGTGTGTGTCAGTTGTGACATAAATAAATATTTACACACTGTGGTCAGTGGTCTGTGGTCTGTGACTGTGAAAGTGTTGAGTGTGTGGTCTCACTCTGTCACAGTGGTCTGTGAGTGTGTGACTGGGTGTCCTGAGTCCTGACTCCTTACTATTGTCGCGCCCGCGCGGTATATAGTTGCGCCTTTTTCTTGGGCGGGAGTAAATGATTTTGTGTGTTTTTATTGTTTCTAAAAACAACTAGAATGAACTCTGCGAAACCGCCGGCGCCACACTGCCAAGAGAGTGCCAACCGTCTGAGCCTCTGAGTCTCCTGAGGACTGACCAACTCTGGGTCTCTGGCCGGGTATATTTATTTTATTTAGACTGCAGACAGTGCTGGGTGCCTGCCGGCTGGGACAGTTCGGTACCTTAGAGTATGAAAATCCCGCAAAAATCAGCGATGTTATTTTGGAATATTTGACCAACAAGGTGTAGTAGTGCAGGCCCACAGATGTAACGCACCCAACAGCTTCTGAATGGTAGAGAGGACGCACGCTGGTATACTTCAAGGCGGATATGAGGACTGCCACATTTAGACTATAATATCATATACCTATGGACATCTTGAAACGCTAGAATGCCTCAGACTGGCACGCCTCCTACGCAAGGGGCCGATGGTTTGGCTAGTGGTGTGAATTTGAACGGAGACACAAAGAACGGTACGGGTATTGCCAGTTCAGCCCAGGAGTCCACTAAAAGACTGTCACAGAATTCTCCGCGCCCATATGCAAGTTTAGAGAGATATGGTAACACTTCTAATAAGAATGATTTCCAACTGAGTTCTGTTGATAATAATTATGCGACATTCCCTCGAGAGGGCTCGGAACGGTCAGAGTTTAGTGCTGGGGGTAATGTTATTTCGTACCAAAGACACGGAGAACCCGCGGGGGTAAATGGCGACAACAGTGGTTTCTTCGGTGGAAGTAAAGTTAGCATGGTGGATTATAACGCACCCATGTATACCTCAATGCAATCAAGCGATCGTCCATCTGGACCACCTGGAAGTGTACAGCCTACATCTATGAATGTACAAACCGGCCCAGTGAAGACCTCTGAGGCACGCGTAGGGGTCTCTGCGGTATCTGAGAACATAAAAACCTCCGACATATCCAGCCCGGAGTTTGCATGTGTTCGTCGGAAGTCAGCAACACAGCCCAATATACTTACACCGTCCAAAGACCTTGTTAACTCGACAGAATCGAATTTCGCAAAACCAAATACTGTGCCTGTACTCAACACGACGCCATCACTAAACCACGTGCCAGCCATGAATGAGACAGCACAAAAACAGTTCAATGTAAAATCTGGGGCGACAGTGCTCAACAAGAGTGACCGAGGGCCGACTCAAAATGGGACTGAAATCAATAGAACGCCTAACACACCCGCGCAATCGAGTATAGGTGGGTACATGCTGACAGTTCAGTTTACGATTTGTTGCTACCAATCCTGACTAATTTTGTGAAAATACGGACTGTAATACTTCCAGATCCGACGAGTTGCTTGTCATCACCGCCACCACACAAACATCACCTATCTGTAGTATTTCACGTGCACCTCAGAGGACTATATATATGTATACATGTATACACACATACACACACACACACACACGCACACACACACACACACACACACACACACAC